CTTGAACATCATTTTTTTGAAAAAAAAATCAGGGAATGTAGAGTCCCAAAAACTAGAAGATCTATCACTAAACGAGTTCCTCGCAAGATCATTTGCAACTTCATTTGCTTCCCACGGGCAACGGGTATACGAAATGTTTCTTAAATGTAAGATGTCTACCAAAACGTTGCGTTGTACGAATTCCAATGGCAACTCAAAGACAGCATGCCGAGCAGCAGTTGAGAACACTTGAACAATGGGCCGAAATAAAAATCGAAACCCTAACCAATAATAATTATCAAAGCCAGCTTTCAATCCTGGGACCTGTGGGTTATGGGCCCACCACGCTTCCGTTGCGCCACTCTGATTGATTTTGTGCATTTGGCGATCTCCGTTTACTTCCGCATGCAGCCTCTTGTTTATAGCCGATCAGCGTAGCAAAAACGAGTTCACGTTGCGGCTGCTTCATCTCAATGCATGCAGCTGCTCAGCTAGTTAGATGAAGCAGTCAAGTAATGCCTACAAATATGAGAATTTTGGTGAAGGCCAGTAAAGTGAAGAGATGAACATGTGCAATAGGCATTTTAAATCTCAGGCCTCTAGTTCAAACCTATTTAAATTAAATTCAAACACTTTCAATTTGGGTGAAACTTCTTTTTGTGGGGCTACCGCCAGCAAATATCAATCCATGCATCCTATGTACTCCCTCTGCTAGGACCTGTGGGTTATGGGCCCACCATGCTTCCGCTGCGCCACTCTGATTGGTTTGGTAATTCTATGATGTTTACAAAAATTATCTTAGAGGGTGGAGTGTACAAGATTGCATCGCGCAACTGACCAGCGTGGCAGCCATAGCATCAAACTGGTACTGCATGCTTCGCATTACTCTTGCGACTGAGTTTGACGGTATCTGTCTGCTGCGAGCTGTTGTGATGCTACGACCACGACCACCAACCACCGTGTGGCTGCTGATCTCGTCGAGTCCCGTCTCACAATCATGCCTCCATTAGGTGAGGTGAGAGCGTCTACAATCAGACTCCTGTTCTGCCCCCAAACGCCCGAGCTGGCAGCTCGGTCAATATTCAAAAGAAAAAAAGGCTCCCAACCGGGCACCCCATAGCCACCCTAAATGCCTGAACTGACCGGCACTCCTCATATCCGGCCCATATCTGGGTGCATATGGAGATGTCCGAATGCGGGTGCCAGGTAAGATTGACCGCAAGGTCACACGCGGAGACCGTCGGTTCGACAGGTACCTCCTCCGGTCCTCAATGCGGACGCATTCATGGCGCCACATAACGTCGCTCCGGCGTGCCGCCCGAGGGAGCAAGTAGGACTCCGACATCCTCGGCCCCACCCAACATTGAGATAGAGCCCGCGCTTTTGTAGCTGGCCGCACTATTTCCACGGCAAAAATTTCCTCTCTCCTCTTTCATCCCGTCCCTCTCCACCCAATTCCCGTCCTTTTTTGGCGCCGCTGACCCATGGACCCGCAGAAGAAGATGCTGGAGACAACGGCGGTGGAGGATCTGGCGATCACGCTCGCCCGAAAGATCAACTCCGAGACAAGGCAAAGGCGGCGCCACTCAAGAAGTAGAAGGTCGGGGGAGGCGGAGGGAGGTCATGGTGGACGACGTGGAGGTGGCGGACGTGGTGGAGGGCAGAGCCTGGGACTCCAACATTCATGTACGTACTATATAATGGTCGAATCAATACAACAAAACAAAAATATTCTAGCCATCCAATGGTTATTTTCTACAAAATCAAGTCGAATGACATAAAAAATGTAGAACTAGAATGTTAATATGCCGCAAAGTCTTGTAAATGCATGAATAGTACTCCCTCCGGTCCTTTTTAGTTCGCATATAAGTTTTGACTGACGTCAAGCCTCGTAAAGTTTGACTAACTTTATAGAAAAAAATGCCAATATTTACAATCTGACATCAATACCACTAGATGTGTCATGACTTAAAATTTCATATTATATAACTTTAGCATGGCAAATGTTGATATTTTTTCATATAAATACGGTCAAACTTTATGAAATTTAACTTCAGAGAATTCTAATATGCAGACTAAAAAGGACCGGAGGGAGTAACAAAATTTCCTATTTCTACGCATGGTAGCATGTAGAATTTTTGTCCATCTAATAATCTTCTAATATTAAAGAAGAATTGGTAGATTCACCTCACCTCTTCCTCGATTTTTTCCTGCCCACGTCATCATCCCTGTTTGGTTACCGTAGAATTTTTAAACTATATCAATCAATGCCGCACAAAACAAAAACCAATGCATATAGAGTAATTTGAAATAATGTGAACAAAATCGATACTTTACTTTCCTTCTACTCATTTCCTTAAAACAAAAAAACATCCAATTTCTGAAAAAGATCATCTAGCCTCTTTTTTTGCAAGTGTCGTCTAGCGTTGGACAGAAGGATCTCGTGAATTATGGAGAACATCATTCGTTTTTTATTCTAACTAGTTTCATCGCTAGGTGGTCTATGAATTTGGATGTAATTTTCATTATTTCTGGTGTTCGTTGTACTACAAAATTTAGGAAAAGTACCATTTATGCGTCTCGTTTCTTCTCTGTTTCATCATCTTCAAACATTCTGCCACACGTTCGTCCTCAGCAATGTCGATGTGGAACGGGCCATAGAAAAAGCACTCACGACGTCTCTAAAATAGTGATCTAAACGCTTTTATATTTTTTTTACGGAGGGAGTAATTGATGTGGAATCATTGAAATATGCAACACACGAACACTTAGCTAAGCATACACACAATAAGCGGCGAATCTTGACGCGAGCACTTTTTTGAGTGGTGCACGGAGTCTGCTTCCATTCATGTGACGACACACGCGCGCACATCCACATGGTCACCATGCGCTGCAGAGACGGTCCACGTGCTGCATGTCTTTCCTGGACTACCTTGGCCGTTTCCTTGGCAGCCTCTTGCGGCTGGCCGTTTCGTCGGAGAACCTCCTCCTGTATGTGATCGCGACGTAGCACCAGCACGGGTCTACCAAAGCCTTCTAGAGAGGTTCTATCTAGTGCCACGGGCTTCGCCAAGTCTTGGTGATGATCCAATTTGTATGTTTTCTTTCCTCAAATACAAGAAATAAAATTCTTTCGAAACATGATTCCATTTATATATGAAAAAAATGTGCATTCCTTCAGTTACAAATCTAAAATAAGAATGTCTTTCTCTACATGCGTGGGACCTGTTCTGCCTACCAATAATTATAGGACAAATACCCCGCAAATAATAATAATAATAATTATAGGACAAATGCAATGATGATGATTGAAACATGAAAAGAAACCATCAAGCCGCACAACCATATTGAAGCTGGGTGGGCCGACTGCCGACACCTACTTGTCCCCGCCGCCGATCCATTTATGCACCACCTCATCCAGCGCCGTCGTGGCGGCGCCCCCCTCGCGGAGGCCCTCCGCCGCCGCCTTCTGCAGCTCCGCCACCTTGGCCCGCACCTCAGCGCCCTTGCCCTGCCCCGCCATCACCTCCCTCACCGCCGCGGCGATCTCCTCTTTCCTCTTCGTGTCCGGCACCCGTATCGCGGCGCCGACCCCCTCGCTCAGCATGACGGCGTTCTGCCGCTGCTCCGCGAAGAGGGGCCACGCGACCATCGGCACGCCGTGCACCAGGCTCTCCAGCACCGAGTTCCACCCGCAGTGCACCAGGAAGCCCCCCGTGGCCTCGTGGGCCAGCACCTTTATCTGCGGGGCCCACGACGGCACGAGCAGGCCCACCTCCTTGGTCCTCTCCACGAACCCCTCCGGGAGGTAGGGCAGGGGGTCCCTCTTGCTCTCCGCGTCGTAGTAGTTGGCGTTCACCGCGCCCTCGTCGCTCGGGCTCCGCACCACCCACAGGAACCGCTGCCCGCTCTGCTCCAGCCCCAGCGCGAGCTCCCGCATCTGCTCCGCCGGAAGCGAGCCGCCGGAGCCGAAGGAGACGAAGATGACCGACCTGGGCGGCTGCCGGTCCAGCCAGTCAAGGCACGGTGCACGCGGCTCGTTGTCAGTCTCGACGGCGTCGGTCTTTATGAGCGGGCCGATGTTGTACACCGGAGGGCGGCCGGGCTGTGGGGCACGGAGGACCCGGGCGACGTCAGGCTCGACGGCGTCGAAGGAGTTGACGAGGATGGCCTCGGCGTCGCGGTAGCGCCTGCCGTGGTGCACCATCCAGCGGTAGCAGGGGTTGGACTTGTCCTGGAGCGGCGAGAGGATGTCCGGCCCGGGTATGGGCACGCAGCCGGGCAGCCTGACGGGCTCGGCGAGGTCCCGGAACTCGCCGGGCATGGAGACGTCCAGCTCCGGGAGGTGGAGGATGAGCGTGAGCACGTGGAGGTTGGTCGGGAAGAAGAGGCACCGCCTCGCCACGCCGGCGGCCGCCGCGGCGTCGAAGGAGTCGGCCCCGAAGAGGTCGGCGACGAACGCGACCAGCCTTGTGGTCTCCTTCAGCCCTGAGAGGACCCCCGTGAGCGCGGGCACCACGCGGGCGCACTCCTCGGACATGAGCGTCTCGATGGCGGCGTCGGGCGGCAGGTCGGAGAGGTCGACGGGAGGGAGAGACAGGGAGGCGATGGCCGGCGGGAGGGAGGCGAGGAAGGCCCGCTGCGTGGCGGAGGCGGTGGAGGCGAAGGTGATGAGCGTGGCCGTGGCGCCGTGCCGCGCCGCGAGGCGCTTGGCCAGCTCCGCCAGCGGGATCAGGTGGCCCATCCCGGGCGTCACCAGCATCGCCACGTGCGGCGCGCGGCCAGCCTCCGCCCCCGCCCCCGCCCCCGCCTCGGCCGTGCCGCCGCGGCAGAGCACGCCGCCGTTGGCCTCCTCCATCTCTGTTTCTCCGGTGTGGTTGGAGTCGGACTCGCGTGTCGTCGGCGACGGCTTGGTTTGGTTGGAGTCGTGTGTTGATCTGGGGTGTGGGCGTGGGCGTGGGATATAGATAGAGCGGAGGAGGTCGGTGTCGTGGCATCTGTTCCCCGTTGGTGGTGGGGATGGGCCATGAGTGGAGAGAACCGGCGGCAATAATGGAGGTATCACGGTGAGGTCATCGGGGCGTCATGATCACGTACGTGCAGAACACTCTAGTACGTACGTAGGTTTACAAGAATGAGGAAAACGAAAGGCAATCCAACAATCATCATCTCGCAGTAGACGGCAGCTTCGATTAATTCTTCCAGAGCCTACGAACAATCATCCTGAAATACCTGCAAATCCGTGTGCTCTTTTTCCTTTTGAAACCATGCAGCGGCAGCAGCAGGTGGCAAAATTCGTGTGCTCTCGTGTGTCTTGGGTCCTAGGAGGAGGGAACTAGGGAATTCACATGAAAGCTCTTTCACTTCGGTTAGATATATGTATCCCGTTTGTTTCTTGTCTGAAGATGATGGCACGCCAGCCCCGCCCCTGGGGTAGTAGTAGCAAGATTGTGAGGTTTGATGGGCACACGCCAGCCCCTAGTAAGACTTTGAGGTTTGATGGGTGGTTGGTGTGATTTTGAGGTGTGTGAAATAGGTAGGTGTAAGGCCACTGTTTTTTTTTAGCTCCGGACGATGGGTACCGTTGTTGTTTTCTTCTCTTCTGATGCAGCCATTTTGGCGCTCGTGTGGTAGTTAGCTCTGAATCATGGATTCAGACAAAGGCGCCAGCCCACGCGTCGTCTCCTTGGCGACTCAGGGGAGAAATCCTAACGGCCTGCCCTTCCCTCCACCTCCCCCTTCCCTCGCCGCCGCCCAAAGGGCTCGCCGGCGAAGCTCGACTTGCTCTCGCATTCGTGGCGCGTAGACCACATCCTCCTGGCCTAACTAAAACCACCTAACAACATAAAAAACAAAACCGATAAAAGGGTTGTCATGGCAGCGAAAAACGGCTGCCGTGGCGGTAGTTTTTGGGTTTGCCTAGAAACGTTGCCATGGCAAACTATATTTGCATGTGCGCCGAGGGAGGGTCTAGATCCACAATTCTCCCCCTCAACCCCGCAGGAGGGCCTTGGCATCAATGATGCCCACCTTGTCACGCAGTTCCTAGAAGCGAAGACGACCAACTGGCTTTGTCGGGATGTCCCCCTTCTACTACGTTGATTCTGATGAACTCCACGGCCATCATGCCCTTCTCAACGCAGTCAGTCTCATGTGAATTTATTGCGGTCGTCTTCGCTATCACTCCGATGAAGTGATAGCGCGGGTCGATGTGTTTGTTGCGGTCATGGAGCACTAGATTGTTGCAAAGCGGGATGGTGGATTTATTGTCGATGAAAATCATCATTGAGACAACGGCTTGATTCAACAGATCACCAAGAAATCGAGCTAGCCCGATCCTCTCCCACTTTTAATCGGCAACTGACACTTAGCAAAACATGCATAGCCATATATACCAAATCTACTAAATCAATTGCCAAAATAACACACACAACCATACATAACACATCCATACTTACCAAATCTAGCAAATCGGGTCGCCAAAAATATTTGATAATCAATTCTTGGAAAATCCTTATGCACGTGTTACTATACCAAATCAACTATAAAACGCATGGGTTACTACCAAATCAATTCGCAGAACTCTACCAAATCTACCATCGAAGGCACCATAACCAAATCTACCATACAATGCACATGTTCCTATACTCCCGGTTGGCAATATAAACATGTGATTGATAATTATGTTTGATTCTAGGTTGCCTGTTCTTCGTACTAGTAAAATGAAGAAAACTAGGTTATTATTTTGAGAGCCTGTACACGTTTATTTTGTCAAATCTCTACTATTAAAGGGGAGTTAGTCGAGTTAATTACACCTATAGTCCCTGTACTCTCTGGCATGTAACACCATGGTTCTCGAACTCATAGAGTGCTCCACTACGGTCCTCAAACATAAGAATGTGCTTCAATATGGTCCTGACTATGTCTCCTGCTACTCCCTGCAATACCGTATAAATATGGGCCCCATATTTCAGATTGTGAGAGAGAAAATTTGTGAAAAAAAAACATTCACATGTGATTAGAACCTAAGACAATTAGTTAGAAAACAACCAAGCTAACCATTGATCCACTCCACTCCTGATGTGAACCACTGATCTAAAGTACCTATAAGTCCATTTTGTATCACGCCATTAGCAGTACATATAATTAAGTCGGCCCAGAAGCATACCATACCTTTTTTTAAAATATATTCAGGCGATTTTCCTGGTGCTTATTCCGTTTTCGTTTTATTTTGACAAGTTCTGTTAATTTTCCCTTTTCCGTATAAACAAATCCTGTTGTATCTATATTCTGTTCTCATTATTTTTATGCCTTGAAGAGGTAAACATGACTTATAAAAACATTTTGATATAAAAAAAAGTGTAGGAAAATTTATGTATCTTCATTCAGGACCACAAGCACAAGCATTTATTTTGAATCCTCATTGTATTTTTAAATACAAAATTATTTAAAATTTTGACAGCTTGTATTTTATATAGTGTCCAGCGTGGTTTTAGAAAATATTATACTTTTATCCAACCCTACGCCCAATTACAGATTTTTCCTATTCTTCTATTTTAAAGTTTGTCTTTTTAACTTTTCCCATTTTAAAAATAAATGTAAGAAAAAACTAGAATAATTATTAATACATTATTTACCTATATTAGTATTTTTTATAAAATAAAAAGGGGAAATAAACACGAAATTATTTTTTAGATCTAACGCGAAATTGGTAAATAAAGTACAAAGGAAACCAGTAGAATACGAGGAGAGGTACGTTACCATATATGTGATGCCAGGAACTTGTTTATTAACTAGACATGATGCGTGGTCTAGTGTGAAGGTTAGCTTGGTTGTCAGGTATGCCTTTGGTGCCGGGTTTGAATTCCTCCTCAAAATTTCTGCACGTTTCTCCCACTTTGATGTACTGACATGCAGGCCCCACACATGTATTGTATGCTGATGTGGCGCCGCGCTGGGCTGTGGAAGATGTAGCTAGGACTGTATTGGAGCGTATTCTCGTATTTGAAGACCGCGGTGGAGCATTCCACGAGTTTAAGCCCATCGTGTTACATGCCGGAGAGTACAAGGATGGTAGGTGTAATTATTTCGGAGTTAGTCGGTGTACATTCGCCCTCACCCCTCCCCATGCCCCCAACTCCCCCTTTTATTTGCTCAACCCCCTCCCTCTTTTAATCGGCAATTGACACTTACCAAAACACGCATAGTCATAGTACATAGCAAATCTACCAAATCAACTGCCAAATAACACCCACTGCTCTATATAGAACATCCATACCTACCAAATCAATTAGTTGCCAAAATATTAGGTAATCAATTCATGAAAGGTCTTTATGCACGTGTTACTATACCAAATCTACCATACACAACACACTAGTTATTAACAAACCAATTCACAGAAATCTACCAAAATAATAAAGCGGGATGAAAGCCCAAAAGTGCCCTTCTTAGCTCGAGCTCATATGAGCTCGAGTGAACAATAAAATTAAAAAGAAAATATTTTTCTTTCAAAAACTCATTTTTTTAGTAAATATTCACTGCTAGGGAAAAGCTTATTGGCAGACGCTTACTAGTAGCGCGGGTTTATAACCCTCGCTACTGCTACTTACTAGTAGCGCGGGTTTTTACCCCTCGCTAATACTAAGATGATACTAAAAGTGTGGGTTTTTAACCCGCGCTACTACTTCCTCCGTTTTTATTTAGTCTGCATATTAGGTTTGACTGAAGTCAAACTTCATAAAGTTTGACCAACTTTATAGAAACAATTACAATCATTTGCCATAACAAATCTATATATTGTGTTAGTACATTCAATAATGAATCTAATAGTATTGATTTGTTATTGTATATATTAATATTTTTGTTTATAAACTTAGTCAAAGTTTACAATGCTTGACTTTGACCAAAGCTAATATGCGGACTAAATAAAAACGGAGGGGGTACTAAGCGGTCTCTACCGTGCCCTCCCAGGACATGCCATAGTAGTAGCGAGGGGTACAAACCCGCGCTACTACTAAGTTGATAGTAGTAGCGCGGTTTTATAACCCTCGCTACTACTAAGTACGAGGTAGGTGAAATCCCCATATCCTCGGCCGAATCCCTCCTCTCTCTCCCTCACTTTCCTCCTCTCTCTCCCTCGTACTCCAGCGGTGGCCGCCGCTGGTACACTCTGCTTTCTTCCCCTCTCCCTCTCCGAGATCCCTCCGGTGGGAGGTCGCAGGAGCTCCTCGCCGTCGCCAAGATGCGGAAGCACGACCTCGGCATCCTCCTCGCCGCCTTCGCCGTCTTCTTGTCGCTCCAAGTCAGCCCTCCTCCTCCCCCCTCTCCGATTCGATCCGGAACCCTAGCTGACCCACCCCCCTCCTCCTCCGACAGCACGAGGGCCGCTGGGAGGTGCTGCTCCCCACGCACGCACGACGCCCAGATCCACGTCCACCAGCTCCCGGCCCATGCCGGGCTGGCCTCCACGGCCTCCACGAGGCGCGCATCATGGCCGAGATCTACCTGCTCCCGGCCAACGTGCGCGTCGCCGCCGTCCGCCGCCCCGTTGCCATGGCCGTCGGCGCCGTCAACTAAACCATTGACACCATTGACAGCACGTACAGGGTCGAGATTTTTTTTTAGTTTTTTAAATTAATAGTAGTAGCGCGGGTCACAAACACGCGCTACAGATAATTAGTAGTAATAGCGCGGGATGCACCGCGCTACTACTACTAATTAGATGTAGCGCCGTAGTAGTAGCGCAGGCACCCGCGCTACTACTAGGCTTTTTCCTAGTAGTGATTGAAAATGTTTTGATTGCTCGTAAAGTTTCACCATCGGGAACTCCGCAACTTGAGGAACGAGCTACGGTGGATG